ATTTTCACTAATTTCTTGCCACAAATAGTTGTAATTTATCGCAACTAGGACTGCGTACTATAATTTCATTATTCATAATTTTTATCGCAAAGTAACATCACACACTAACATCACACGCATGCATTACTTTTATTATAAAAAGTCATAATTTTGTTACACCAAGTCTCTTTTTAAAATGGGTAAAATAAAATCTCTCTTTATATATATATATATATATTAGCGGCCAGCAAGGTTTGACCTTTGCAATGAATTAAACCCTCTTATTCTAATTTTTTTTGTCAAATTAAACCTTGATCTTTCAATGCGATGTCAATTCAAACCATTTGCCCATTTCTGTTAATTAGAATTAATAGAGAAAGGTTAATATTTTTAATTTATTCTCATAATTTCTATTTTCCCTCTTTTCTTTCTCTCTTTATTGTGCGGTCACTCTCCTTCTTCTTTCCCTTTTTGCCCCAAGTTATGACAACAACAATGCCACTCACCGGAACTAGGATTAAATTGAAAAATTATCCAAAAGGAGATTGGTAAAAGGATTAAATTTTCCATTCTCTGTTAGTTTGGATTGAAACTATATGAATTAAAAATACAGAGTTTAAACTGACAAAATAAAATGCAGTGTGTAATTTGTTAATGGGTTGAAACCATGGGGATATTTATGTAATTTCTCTTATTATTTTGTACTTTGTGTGTATTTATGGACTCTGTTCAACTTTTTTGTTTGTCTCTCAACATGCGAGATAGGGTCACACGGTATGGGGAGTGTTAAATAATCTAACATATGTTGTTGGGTCTATTTCCTAACCAATTTTAGTAGTTTTTAAAATGAGAATCATTGGATAGGCATGTGATTTTAGGCTAATGTTTTAATGTTTAGATGAATTATATGATGCATTGAATATAAAAACAAAAATGAAACCTGGGCATAAAAATTGTCAACTATTTACAAAAAAATGAAAGCAATTTTTGAAATGAATGAATTTAAATATTTTTCATGATACGAAACTAAGATTATCATAAAGAATCTGAAATGTGAAGAAAAGTTTAAATGACTACATTGAGAATTAAAAGACGTGGATTAATGTGAATTGTTTGATAAGTGGAATTAATAGAAACAGTGTAATTCAAAAACAAAATAAAATTAAAATTAAGACTTAAATAATTAAATTAATGTGAATTGTTTGATTAGTAAAATTGATTAAAACAGTATAATTCATGTAACAAAGAGATATATTACAGTTAAAAATAGAATCAATTGGAAGAAGGGATAAATATACGTTGGGTTCACGCATAATTAGAAAAAAATAGAAACCAAATGTAAAAATTTACACCAATATATGTATCTATATATATATACGTATATGTATATTTGAAGGATATCAGTGTACTCCTTCCAAGCGTTAACTTGATCTCTAGACCGCTTGGCAATCCTAGACTGATCATAGCCCTACGAATGAGCTAGTCTATGGTGGCTATATCTCTCTAAGAAGGCAAGGCAAGTCTATCTAGTTATAGGGTGGCACTTAATAGTCAATCAGTTTGTTGTCCCAGTTCGCAGGTGTAGCCTAGAACATGAGAGGGGTTAACAAAAAACACGAAAGTTTCTCGTTATATTTATTTATATAGTTATAGAACTATAACTAAAAGAAAGTGTCCGTTGACGTAGGTTATTTGTTGTAATTTTCTTTCTTTCCTTTTTTTTTTTGGATCGAGTGGTGTTCAATCTACCGAATTTATTAGTACAAGATTGAAAAGAATGCTTTGCATTCCAAGTGAGATGCCCAAGAGAAAAGGAACGAGGGGAAGAATTGATAAGGAATCTATAACATAAAATAGTGAATGTAAAAACCAGACAAGAATTCTCAACTTGAGATGTTAGAAGGTGCAAAATCAATGTGTGCTGGAGCTGCTATGTCTCGGTCTGATCCTCATTGTACTCGTTTCATGCTGTTGTGCTTGTATTAGGTCTGGGTAGAGAACATGTGATATATCTCAAAACAATACATTTTTGTTACCGCAATATATATTGGTAGCCATAGGTCATTTGAATCTTCTTTTTTTCTTTTTTTGGCCTTAAGAAATGATGAGCAATTTCTAAAATTGGTAAAATTGTAAACCCAAAAATCCAAAATCAAAAGGGAAATTCATGTAATTTGAAAAGTTTTAATAAAGGTTAATTAATTTGTAATAAAAACTTGATAAATGACTAATTGCCAAAAACATAAGGGGTAAATTAATAATTACAACTCTTTTGATCTATGAAATAAAAAATTGTATGCAAAATTTAAGATAGTTTAGGTTTAAGCTTATATTATATAAAATTTTTAGGAGGTTGATTTAATTTAACATTGTTTTTTTTTATTTTTAATTTTGTTTATTTTTAAAGAGTAATGGATAAAGTGTGCAGGTGTTTCAATATGATCTTATTCAAACTTTATATTATCAACTTGTTAAAGATTAATATTTGACATTATTGTCACGCTCTCTATTTCTTAGGGGAGGGGGCAAAAGTTGCAAAGGAGCTTCAACAATATTGCTATTTCCAACATAATCTATGCCCTACAATTGATTGAGACTATTTAGCATACAATCATTGAGTATGTAATAAAATTAGTGATTTTATATGATATATATATATTTTTTCCATTTATAATTACCGTAATTATTTATTGAAATTTATTGACACTACATTTTATTTTCAATCGAAGAGAAAATTTTCTTCATTAAAATATAAAGAAAAATTAAAAACAAAAACTAGAAAGAAAGGAATGAAAAATGAATGCATCCTAATTATTATTAAGAAGTTATTCTTGATTTGATATATGCACCAAGTAACCCACTTGATTTAATAAATCCAACCTAATTGTCATGTGCTTTATCTTATGATATTAGGCTATGTTGCATGGACTCTCAAAAATAAACACATGTATGTCGGTGATGCGGGATATGTGTCCAATATCTTCCATTGGGTGCTTCTTATATATGTGTATTTAACAGGGGGATTTGGTGATAACCCTCTCACTATCTAATTTGTCTTTCAAAAGGACAAGAATTATATAAGTACTTTCAAAACCCCCTAATATTTTAAAACTTGTTTCTTTTACTATATTACCCTCATATCTATCAGCTCTCCTATTAAGTCATCTTCACTATATATTTCAGAGTAAAATTTAAAATAAACACATGTATGTCGGACACCCAACACTTGGATAAGGATGTGGGATATGTGTCCAATATTTTCCATTGGGTGCTTCTTATATATGTGTATTTAACACTATCATTATATATATGTATTGTTATATAATTGCTATATAATGAGTAAAATTTTTGTTTGACATTAAATGTCACATATAACACCATTTTGTCTCATATAACAGATTAAAAAATATAAATAAAATTTTTGCCAAGTCTGTTTACTTTTAAATTTGAGCTTTGATGGATCCACCTCTAGGTATGCATCTGCACCTAACACCCGTACCTGAATCTATGTAACATAGATATTAGGTGATCGGATCAAGATATGCAGACATTATATTGACATGTTAAAATTAGAGGCATTTAGTGAGAAGTCCTATTTTATAGAATTGTTGGGGGTTAGGTCGTACTTATGATATTTTATTCCAATTACTCTTGTTAGTGTTTTTTTCCTCCAAAAATACCCATACATGCAAATAGTGTGTGCCTAGTTGAAAGAAAAATTATTAGGTGCTCTAGGTGCATCACGTAATGTCATCCATCAATCAACAAACAACATACCTCTATGCCCCAACACAATTGTGAACCCCACTCCTCCTACAAACACATCTCTATGATGGTACCACCCGACCATGCCCCAAGAGCACTAAATAACTTCTCTTTGATAGAGTTCGATGAGTAGGTTTTAAAATATAAATTTTATAAAAAAGCGGATGTGTAATATGAAAATTATGAAATTTTAAAGTTTAAAATACATAAAAGATATTTTGCCATATCATCAAGCTTTTGCATCAGCACATGTCTGGCTCCTTTCCCTTTTTATTTGAGGGCAAAATCATCTCACAATAAAAACAATTGGAAAAAAGGACTTCTTGGGATAAAAATTTTCACATGAGACTTATCCTAACATAACCTCACCAAATAGGACTTATAGGTAATTAATCCTTAAAATTATTATAATAAATCAAAAGGTAATTAGGTACTAGTACGAGTCAAATGACTCTAGACTAAAATTTTTGGCCCTAATTTTTAGGGTGCATTGTCTATGATATAAAGTTGTAGGTCCAAGCCAAGATAAACTAAATTTCATTGGATCAATTAATTTTACAAACAAGCATTTGGTTTGTTGTGATAAAAACCATGCATTACTCTGGTACCAAATGCCTAATGCTAAACTTAATTTTCATGTAATTATTCTAAATGCATATAAAAAAAAATGTAACTTAAAATTGTCATTCCCTTGCATTTCATCCGCGAATAAGTTTTTTATTATATACATTATATACCTTTTGCCTATCAACTAAAATTTAAGAAACAATTGTGATCATAATCATAAATAATTTACATATAATGTAATATTTCAAATATATACATAAAGTAATAAAATAATTGTCCCTAATTATTTCTTTCAAAAATATTTTCTTATTTCATGCATTGCATGAGTTCATGGCTAGTTTTACATATTGGAAAAGAATGACAAACAAATCCTAATATCTATTTTAGAAAGCTCTATCATAAAAAACTTTGGAAATTGTGGGATTGAAAATTTCGAAAAATTAAAAACTCTAAAGATATAGGTGTTAATCTGTATAAATTCACATTATTTTTATTTTATCATTAGATCCCAAAGGTTCGGTGCGTACGCAATCTTTCACCTGCCAAACACACATTTATGTGTACTATTTGGGCATTGTTTTAAACTTGCATTGTGTTTCATGATTGTCTCAAAGATGGATAAGTGCCTGAATGTACCCCTAACAATTTGAAGAATGCCCCCCTAACAATTTGAAGAATGTCCATTTCTAAAAAAATAATGAGGGATGTTCCAATGCATGTCCGATGTGTTGGACCAAAAAGTATCCAATGAATGTGTCCAATATATGTCCAACACACACAGAACTTCCAAATGTTTGTGTTTTTTAGGTATTTACAATACAGCCCAAGTCAAATGGAGGCATGCAACATTTAATGTTGGGATGGTCCTGTTCATTTGCATCTAAACTTGGACAAAACCTGAACTTGCTGCTATCTTCAATTTTTATTTTATTAATTTATTTTTTCAAATTCTGTATTAATTCCTTGATGAAATTTTTGCAGTGGAATTCTTTCTGCAATGGCATCTAGTACAGTGGTTCAGCGGGGTGTCGACATGTTCAGGGAAAGGAGTGTAGAGAAAATTATTCTTGTTGGGGTTTCCGGAGTTGGGAAAACATGGACAGCTAAACAGTTAAGTAAGCATGCAATTAAAGAGGGTTTATTTGAGATTGCTCTCTGGGTATTCTGCAACAGAAAATATCATGGGACAGCTCTTAGTGAGAGTATTGCTCGTCAATTGTCTCTCCTACCCATTGCTGACGAGTGGGAAGTTGAGGATAAAAAGGGGGGAAAGGAGGAGGAGAACCATGAAGACTTGCAAACGATGATAGCTAAATCCCTTGAGAAGAAGAAGGTTCTTTTAATTTTTGATGATGAGGGAAACAAAATGAAGGAAGGACAGATAATACTCGAATTGGAAACTTTGCTGAATCTTCCCAATGTAAGTTCATACAAGGTTCTAATCACTAGCACAAATGCTCCCACGGGATCCAAAGATGAGATTTTGGTGAAACCCTTGTCTGTGGAAGAGTCATTGTCCTTATTTCGAGATAGGGTTGGGAGAAGAGTTTATGAAGATCTAGTCATTAAAGATTTAGCTGAAAAATTCATAAAAGAGACCAAATATTTTCCTGCTGCAATTATGTTGATGGCAAAAGCCTTCAGTTATTTTGTTCAATGTGATTCCGGAACACAGATGCTTGAGAGTGCTTTGAAAGAAACAGCTGAATCTGATAGTAAAAACTATAATTTAGCATGGCTACTACACAGTGGGTATGACATGTTGCCAAGGAGTGTTTTAATTGACTGTTGTCGGCATGGTAGTCGCTTCTTTCGCAACCGTGGAAGCATTCATTACAGTGAGTTGATAGCTTACTGGATATTGGAAGGATACCTTGGGCATGTTGAGTGTATGGAGAAGGCATATGAAAAGGGCCATTCTGTTTTCATGGAGCTTGTGGATTGTCAACTGTTGAAAAAACTGGATAGTGGTTACGTTGTCATGGACAGTGATCGAGCAATTGTAAATTTGGATGACTTTGACCACTGTGGATTCGGGGGGACCAGCAGTCTTGGCTTGGCTGATCTGCTTGAGGACTGTGAGGGGACAACCAGTCTTGGCTTGGCTTATTTGTTTGAGGATGGTGAATGGGAAGGCTTTGGGAGAATCAGTCAAGCAGATGGAATGATAAAATCAGTTTGTTCAACTAAAATGGGGCAGAAACTGTCTACGCTTTTCCTTAATGGAAATCGTTGTCTGGAAATCCTTGATAGTTTCTCTGGGTTGGAGGAACTCCAAGTTCTTGCCCTTTTCAACCCGACTGCCAAATCACTGACACAACACTTGTCTAAAATGCACCAGCTTATTGTGCTTGTTCTCAGAGGTTGTGATTTTTTGGTGGAGATGGACCACAAGTTTGAACTTACAAGATTGACTGTTCTTGAGATATCTAATGCTAGCTCCTTGAAAACAATTCCAGATGATTTTTTTGCACATATGCTCCAGCTTCAAAGCTTGCATATATCCGAACTGAAGGTTGATCATTTACCTTCATCTCTTTACAACCTTAAAGAATTACGCCAGCTCATTCTTAGAGGGTGTTCTTGCTTCCAAACAATAGACAGTCTGAAAAATTTCAAAAATCTCACGGTGCTTGATGTTTCCGGTGCTACATCTTTGACAAAATTTATCGACAAAACCTTTCGACACACTCCAAAACTTCAGACGCTTAATCTTTCTCATACCTCTATTAACAGGATACCAAAACTTAAAGATCTTGGACAGCTTACTCATCTCTCACTACGTAGCTGTAAACTCTTAGATAGACTGCCCAAAACTGATTTACTAACTAGTCTCCAAACTCTTGATCTTTCAGGTGCTATAAAGTGTAAGGAATTCCATGAGCAGTCACAAAAACTTCCTAGTGACCTTAAAATTCTTGATATATCACAAACTCCTTTAGAAAAACTACCTTTTGAGATTAATGCTCATCATCTCTTTATAAAACATTGTCTTCGGCTACAAAAACTACCTTGCATTGAAGCACTTAAAGATCTCGAGGTGCTTGATCTTTCAGGCTCCTCAAGTCTGGTTGAAATTGAAGATCAATTCTTTAGCCATCTGTCTTTTCTTCAAATTCTCAACCTGTCGAAAACTGGAATAAAAACTCTTCCTTCAGTTTCCAAGCTTAAAAACCTGCGTCAGCTATTATTGTCGGGTTGTATTGCTTTGACAGAGATAAAAGATACATCTTTTGAGCAGATGTCTTGCCTTCAAAATCTTGATCTCTCTGACTGTACTAACTTGAAAGCACTTCCACCTCTAGAAACTCTATCAAATCTTAAGGAGCTAAATTTATGTGGTGTTAGTTCTTTGAAGAAAATTGGGGCTGGTTTTTTGGAGCACATGAGCCACCTTCAGATTCTTGACCTCTCTGAAACCCAGATTGGATGGTTGCCATCCATGTCAAACCTCAAAAGCCTTCGTCAGCTATCTATAAGAGGTTGTGAGGATTTACCAACAGTGCCAAATTTGGAAGTGCTCATGAGCCTTGAGGTTCTGGATCTTTCTGGAACAGGAGTCACTCATATACCATCCCTTGAGAATTTTAGCAACCTCAGACAGCTCCTCCTTAGGGGTTGTTCAAACTTGAAAGGGTTTCTGCATGGGGAAATGATTGATCTGTTGGGAACCACTGTTAAAGAGCTTCCCTATGGAATCTCAAAGTTGACTCATCTTGAGTGCCTTGATCTGCCACACAAGGAAAAAATACAAGGGGCTGAAAGCAGAAATATGAAGTCCCTGCCAGAAGTGGATGATCCTAATCAGTGGAGCATGTCCAGTTTTGACAATCCTCACATTGCTATGAGTGGTATTCAGTTTCTTCAAATTTTCAAGAAAAATCCCTCTTTATTGGAGACACGATTTCATTTATGTGTCCATCCTACCAAAGGGAAAAATAAGAAGGGGGATACATATTCTTATAGAAATGACCATATTTTCAGAGATATCCTCTTCCGGACTGCAGAATTTGATTGTTTTAAAGAGCAACGATCACTGGAGATACATGGATTCGATCTTTTCCCCAGTGGTGTAGGGGATGTGCTCTGCAATGCCGACTGTGTGTTTTTTATCAATAACACATTCAACAAATGGTTTTCTGATATTGGTGTTTCCAGCCTTCAGGCAATCAAAGGCTGTTGGATTGAGAGATGCACAAAAATGGAGGGCGTTTTTCAAGCAGGAAAGGAAGATGATATCGCTGAATTGGGGTTAGAAATTTTAGGGATTTCAAATGCTAAAAATTTGAGTAGTATATACAGTGGGAACTTGCATTGTCAGAGCTTTCAAAAGCTTAAATGTCTATATCTTGACTGTTGTCCTAAGCTTTCAACTGTTTTCTCGTCATCCCAGCTGCCAGAAAACCTCAAAGTTCTTCAAGTCAGATTTTGTGATAAATTGGAGACAGTATTTGAACAATCATCTCCAGAGCCCAAATTGCAAAATCTGGAGACATTATGTCTGTGGGAATTACCAGAACTAACGAGCGTTGGATGCAGATTGCCCTCTCTGCAAACTCTAAAAGTATGGGAGTGTCCAAAACTGCAGAAATTAGAAGACACTATCAGATTGGCCGAAAGTATACAGACTTTATGGATTTCCAATGTTGTTGATTTGAAGAACATATACAGTGAAAGCCGGCAACTTGAAACTTTGATTCTTGAGAGTTGCCCCATGCTTGAAACTATTGTCACTTCATTGCAGCAGCCACAAAGTCCCATGACTGTCAAAATCAAGTCATGCAACAAATTAAAGCCTGTGTCTGGAAGCAACACATTATCAGAGTCTATAATGCAGTAGCTGCACACACTGAATCTGCACAAATTGCAAAAATTGGAGGAAATTGGGTTTAGAAAAACTGTTGTCACGAGATGCCTAAATTCCCTGGTGGGTTGAATATCAAGATCTCCTCCTGTTAGCTATATCAGAGGAATTTGACATGGAACGATATCGGGCAATTGTAATTGAACAAAATACAAATTCATTGAGATGCTGAACAATTTTTGCCTCTTGTACGCCCAATCTGACGTCAGGTTATTATTTTTAATATTACTCTTCATAATCATTTTGTTTCACTTACAAGTACATCCACATCCCACATCTTGCTGAAAGGTGTTTTTTTTTGTTTCTTTTTATTTTTGTTTGTTCTTGCCAACCTAAATTCTAGTATGAGCTTCTTGATGCCTTTTATTAATCTGGAACAACAAGCTGATCATTTTTCATCACAATCAGAGACATTATATATATATTTAGATGCCTGTTTTTTTTTTTTTTTGGTTTCTTTTTTAAAATCTTTTCTTCGTTTGATTTTATGCTGTAGTTACATATGCCTCTAAATCAAAGGTTTGTTTTCTGGATTTGTTGAGACTTCAGCTTCCATCTGGAAGAAGGCTGCCAATAAATCATGGATGTAGAGGCACAAGAATAATGTCTATGGTGTTCATGAATATTTTGGTGGTTGAACTCTTGAATGAAAAATAATGTGGGGCACTAATGGATACCTATGTCAGTGCTGCCCTACGGAAAAACTTTATCCAAGTCAGGATGAACATCTAAAACCTTTCTCAACTTGTAGGGCCTAGTACAGTTAGTTGTCTGTCGTCATATACTTCTGAACAACAGAAACTGTTTTTAATATTCATTTCTCATTTTAATTTTGCAGGGATTGTATATTCATTCTAGCTGCTACTGCACTTCTCAATTGCATTGTATTGAGATGAAGTTGCTTTCTATTCTTGGGCGTTGGTCATCTCAGTTGGAGCATAAATGGGATTTTACTAGACAGGGATTAGGAGGAAGTTTAACTTTGAGTTGAGCATCTTTGTCTCCTGTTGCGTGTGATTCTACATTAGCTGACTGCTATTTTTACGTGCCACCTTTGTTTAATATATTTTTTTCCTACTCTTGTTTCGCTTTGTATTGTCATATTTTGGCTCTTGTTTTATGCCATATATGCATGCCCTGTAAGTACATTTCTGAGTAGGTTTGCATTTTTTCTGGAGAAAAAGTAAACATGTTGTACTTGGGCGCCTTGGGTTAATAATTGCTTATTTGCCTTACTTCACCTCAATAAGCAATAGACTAGACCATTAATGTCCTTTCCCATTTCTACATTTTTCTACACCTGCAAGTTTTACCCCATTGAATAAGGGAGATGGAAAATACACAGAAAGAATCTCTCTACACCAACTGTACATGAATTTCTTTCATAAGGTGGAAGGATCTCACTGCATCTGGTGGGTGTAAAAACAAATTGTGCGAGTCTGCTTAGAAGTTCCCTTTGAATAACTGTCATCTGCAGTTGCCTGTTTACATGAATGTCATGTTATCTAGAATTCAGGGATCCTCAGAAAGCAATGCTTGACTGAAGTGTGAATCCTCTAGAAATTGAATTAGGGGAGTCATGTTTTTCATTGTATTTGAGAGGACTATATGGTGCTCATAGTGTTAAAATGTGCCAATAATTCAGGATTCCAAACAATGGCCTTGCAGTTTTCTTTTTCGTATCATTGTGTTGATTGTAACGTTGACTCTATTTTATATACTATCAAACAACATAGACTCCTTATGCCTACTTTTGTTCTATGAGTCTGACAGCTTTGGTGGGCGGAAGAACTTCAAAAATAGAAATAAGAAAAGTAACCCCAAGGAGTAGGCCTAGTGGCAAGGTCTTGGGGGTGTGCTCCCTCGAAGATTCAAGGATCGAAACCTCTTAGGTGTGAACAATTCTTGAGGCCATCGGACTGGGGGAAAAACTATTGAATTAAACGTTGTGCACTTATGGAAAACTCATTGCTGAGGGCCTGTGCACCCCTGGGGATTAGTTGGGCTTTGATCCCGATACCCCGGTACCAATAAAATAAATAAATAAATAGGTAAATATAAAGTAAAATAAAGCAAAGATGTCAATGTTGGTTGTTGGCCTCCCATTCTTTCAGAAATTCAGGGTCGTCTTGTAGAATGCTCACTCCAATGCGTTATTTCTGTGTTGCTGGACTTCCTTAGATTTGTATATTATCTTGATTTTGCATTGGGAAAAATAAAATCGAAAAAGAGTCTTTTTGCATGCTACATTCTTCCTCATTTGTTCCACTCTTTCTTTCTTGCCCTAGTCAGGACTGATTTATGATTTTTCTGATCATTTTAACCCTCTTTCTCTATCAGGCTTACCTTTTTCTTTTCATAATAAGCCAAACAATAAAATGTCCTATTAAAAAATGGTGTTTTTATGGCAAAAACAGAAATCAAGAAATAATAAACAGGAAATAAACACACAAGCACACAAATGATTTATGTGGTCTGGCTATAAGTCTATTTCCATGGGTGAAGAGTGATGAGTGAATTTCACTAGAAATATAAAGATTACAATGAGCCGGCTCTTTGAACTCAACCATCTCTTACATAAGATCTACAAAAGACCATCAAACCTAAAATCCCAAAATAATCCAATATATACAAGGGTCTGAAAAGAATCAAACCAGGACAAAATATTCCAAATGCAAATAGTGGACCTAGCAATTATTTGGGTCATGTGGTCCCAATGAGTGATGAACATAATCCGTATTGAATTCAAGTCACACCCATAACAATTTTCTTCAGTTTGCATTGATGAATCCAAAAGTTTCATGAATGCTTCGTTTCTCTACACACGCTGCATGCTTATCATCTGAACCATGTCAATGTCGGTATTCCTTCTCATAAATCCAATTCTATGTTACATATGTAAGAACCAAAATTTCAATTAATTAATTATCTATTTAATTACAATTTAAAATTTATTATTATTTTTTAAGAGGAAAATTATAGTAAATTATAATTTGATCTAATAATTGTAATTTATGTAAATTAATGGAGAGACAAAATAAATAAATAAAAGAGATTAATTACTTTTGGAAGTCAATTATATGCATATACAAAAGGTAGGATAAAACCCTAAGTCCTCATTATATTATTCTCCATCATTCTGTTATTAAAAAAGCTAGAGTGAGAGACGACTAAGGTTGGTATCAAATACAGAAACATCAGAAGACATAGATGACAAAAAATCTCTTCACATTATCTGACTTCTTCCTTGCAGCTTGTTTAGTCAAAGCCTCAAATTGTGCCTCTATGAATGACTTCAGAAGAGGCAAAATGATGACCTGATAAACAAGATTAGGCCATTGCATATGTTTCACTTCTAGCTCCTGCATAACAAGAAAATCCCATATGGTCATTGTATCAATTCTGCTAGACCCCACATACAGCTGCTCAATTTGTCTCTGCATTAAAATGCCAAGGCAAATATGTTTTTGAGCCACAGACCCTCTCCCATTTGAAAGATTATTTGCTATTGCTTGAATCCAAATAAGGCTCTGGATTTTTGTAGCTTGTGTAGAGGCAGGCCACAGGCCTCTCTGCAAGTTCAGCCTTGTGTCCAAAGTTGAAATACAATGACACTCAAATCCACCAGGGTCCCAAGTCTCACCGAAGCAAGCAAAGTGGAAATAAGCAAATAAAACTGGCAGAAACTTTTTTATGCCTTCTAGAACTAACAGACAACTGATAGATGTCAACATTAATTGTTTCTTCATCATATTGTGCTACAAAACTCATTGTAACTAGAGAAATTGTTGAATTCAGATCTGTTATAAAAGCCATTTTAACCTCCTTGGCTTGATGTCCCATAGCCAACACATCTAGTGAAATCCCTGGAGTCTGAATTTTTTCGTTTGCTTTAATTCCCAATTCAATGATGCTTGAACATTTGTCATTTTTCACTGATGAATTGTCAGATTTAGGAATCTTCTATTTAGATACAATCTCTAAATGGAATAGATAGTGAGTTTTCATATCCAGATATGGAACATCTACTTTTAATTTCCCCAATTGTACTACCACCACCACATTCTTCTTATTTGTATACGACTCGTCATCTGAACTGTTGTGGCTGTTGTTGCTAGAAATCCGTCCATCCCATACTTTTTTCCATCATAAGATTCTTCCTCATACCCAGCATACTTGATACAATGATTCTTTCTGTCAAAATCTTCATTGGCTTCAATACATTGTCAACTTGGATAATAATTCCCGTTTTTAGCTATCACTTTTGAATCATCACTTTTTATAATCACTATCTTCATCATTCCAACTTAAAACACCCTCTTCTAATTCCTTTGCTTCGTTGTAATGCATATTTGGATCACATTAAAAATCAAAAACTGTCTTGGAATTAAGTATTTGATTACCAGCACTTCCATCAAAAATCAATTCTTACCATGAGATTTGATCTCAGAATTGGTGCTCCAATTGCTCATCTCTTGTAGTAAAGCTCAACCAATGGTTTGATCCATGGTATAGGGTTGGAACCCTTGCACACCAGCCTTAATTTCATATGTAGGTCCATTAATGAAGCACTTTATTAAGAATTCTTCAGGCACATTCTGGGTTTTGTCAACTATTTCTGGACCGAAGGACTTGAAAGTCCTAGCCAAAAGAAGTGCTAGCTCAAGATTTCTTCTATTTTTCTTTCCTCCACCACCAAAGCTCTCTCCGTCTCTCTCTCTCTTTCTCTCTCATCCGAATATAGGGGTGTGTGGGTGTGTTTTTGATGCTCAAAGTATAGAGGGGGTGGGCGTATTTATAGGAAAAATAGTGTGAAAAGTTTATATTGCCCATTGGTTGGAAATGAATTGAATAGTTTGGATTTAGTTATGATTGAATGGAATGGAGGATGATTAAGGTGCCTAATTAGGTGCTAATCATGATCTACTTATGGATTTTTGTTGGGATTGAATGGAAAGTACAAACAAAATCTCCATTTTTTGGGATACTAAGGTAGGGTTATAATTACATCCTCAAATCATGCAAAGTGTATCAAAAGTACATGCATATATATATATATATATATATGCACCTAGTATGGCCAGCCACATGGGTGGATTTTTTGAAGATTTTGCTTTCATTATGTGTACTAGAAATCTATATGTTGAAGATATTGGTGTACAATATTGTTTGTTTAAATGGATGATAATGAATATTGAGTATATTGTTAAGTTGAAATTATAGAGTTGTTTTGGGATTAAAATTTTTTAAAGTGTTGTATTCATGGTATTTTATGAATGGTGATATATTGATGATTAGGTTTTGTTCCTTTTTTTTTTTTTTTTTTGTGAAAATGAAAAGATGAATTGTGGACTTTTGAACTCCTAACCTTAAAAAGTTTACTCTTGGACAATTTCTTGATTTTTGATGTAAATATCATGTTGATTAGTTAATTTTAGAAAAGTTGTGAAGATTATTATTTGTTGAGAATTTGGCAAAAATTGGCTATTTGAGTAGCTTGGTATGAAATATGATTATGTTTGAAAGATGAGACATGTTATGTTCGATATTATTTCTTTGGAAAATTGTGAATATAATAAACTTACTAATTTAGTGGATTAAATTAGTTTTGTTAAAAGTTTATATCCTTTATGATTAAAAGTGTATTATTGAGATTATACTATAGCTTTTAATGTAGTAGGATAGGAATGGTAATATTCAATAAGTATGAGATTAGATGAAAATCATATTGGTTATCTTGGTTGAGGTAGAACAAAGTTTGTTAAAACCTATCACCTACTTCACCCACTTAAACCTACTCCACTAAACCTAACCCACTACACCACTACCACCTCACCTACTCCACCTCCTTACCTACTACACACTCACCCTCTTCTATATATAGGAATCATGAATCATTGTAATAAATATAACATTATATCAATCAATAATACATCAATTTATTCTTACATGGTATCAGAGCTATAAGATTTAGGCCTATACTCCTCTCTTTCCGGCGGGCAGCCGGCCGGCAACCTTGCCTTCGCTGCCCGCTGGAGTTTTTCAACACATACCACAAACACATACCAGAAACTCTTTCTTTGTTTCCTCATCTT